GACGAACTAAGGAAGCAGCTCGATTACCTGCTCGAAAAGGAATTCATTCGCCCTAGTTCGTCGCCCTTCGCCGCACCAATACTGTTCACACCGAAAAAGGACAAGGGTTTTCGCATGTGCATCGACTACAGGGCACTGAACAGGGTTACCATCAAATCCCGTTACCCCATCCCACGAGCCGATGAACTGATCGACCAACTGCGCACAGCCCGGGTTTTCTCGAAAATCGACCTCCGAGGAGGCTACCACCAAATCCGCGTCAACCCACCCGACTGCCCTAAAACCGCATTCCGAACACGCTACGGATCCTTCGAATACACCGTCATGCCATTCCGACTGACCAACGCCCCCGCCACCTTCCAAATGACCATGAACGAAGCATTCCGCCGCTTTTAGATAAGTGCGTCATCGTTTATCTGGACGACATACTGATTTACAGCCCTGACAGAGCACAGCACTTACAAGACATCGAAGCAGTTTTTAAAATCCTGAGTGAGAACCGCCTACCGACCAAAGCATCTAAGTGTGAGTTTTTACAGGACCGCCTGGAGTTTTTGGGACATGTTATTTCAGCTGCAGGAGTGGAAATAGACCCGAAGAAAATTGCGACGATTCAGGCTTGGCACGCGCCGACCAACTTGACCGAGTTGCAGAGTTTCCTGGAGTTCGTCAACTACGTGCGCCGGTTCGTCCCCGACATGGCGAAGCTGACTGCCCCGTTGACTGACCTGCTGAGGAAGGGGGTTGAGTACACGTGGGGGGAGAAAGAGCAAGCTGCCTTCTCGGCCCTCAAAAATATTTTGTGCTCCCCGCCCGTCCTTCACATTGCAGATCCCCACCGTCCGTTCGAGCTCGTCACCGACGCAAGTGACATCGCTGTGGGAGCAGTACTGTTGCAGGATTTCGGGAACGGCCTCCAGCCAATCGCGTACGAGTCCCGCAAGTTACACCCGCCCGAACGTAACTACCCGATACACGACCGCGAGATGCTAGCGATCGTGCACGCGTTCAAAGTTTGGCGATGTTACCTGACTGGCGCCGACGTGACAGTACGGACAGACCACCGCTCGCTACAGTACCTTCGCGCCCAACCGAATCTCAACCCACGACAGATTCGCTGGTTGGACTATCTCGAGTCCAATTTTCACTACACCGTTACGTACAAAAAGGGTGCATCCAACATCGCCGACGCTCTCACCCGCCCCACCGCCCAACTCCATGCCATCCTACTCGCCCAGACCAACCCGCTTTTAACTGGCCTATTCACCCACGGATACCGCACCGACCCATTTTTCACGACCGGAAATTCACAGCAACTGGCAGAAGCAAAAGGAGTCTATTACGTAAAAGCAGGCACCAACCGCATTTGGGTACCCGCGTACTCACTACTGAGGGAGCTGCTACTACAGGAGGCACACGACGGGATTACCTCGGGACATTTCGGGGTAGAAAAAACGCGACAGCAACTGCAGCGGTACTATTACTGGCCGGAGCTGTTGACCGACGTACAGCAGCACGTGGGCTCGTGCCCGACGTGTCAGGTGATGAAGAGCTCAAGGAAGCGGAAGGCGGGTCAATTGTAGCCGATCCCACCGCCCGAACGCGCCTGGCAGCAAGTAACCATGGACTTCGTCACAGGGTTACCTTCGAACCCTGGGGGTAACGACGCGGTGATGGTCGTCGTGGATAGGCTGACGAAGATGGCACACTTTGCTGCGTGCAAAAAGTCGATCTCAGCCGAGGAGACCGCTCGCCTGTTCATCGCAGCCGTTGTTCGCCTGCACGGGATACCAGCAGCAATTATCAGCGACAGGGACACGAAATTTACCAGCAACTTCTGGAAGAACCTCTGGGAGCAGTTCGGGACCAGGCTACAGTTCAGTTCGTCGTACCACCCCGAGACCGACGGCCAAACGGAGCGGACGAATCAGACGATGGAGCAGTTGATTCGTGCCACGTGCGACGACCCCACGACCTGGGAGCAACAGCTGCCGCTGATCGAGTTCGCGTACAACAACGCCACATCAGCCACGACGCAGCAGTCCCCGTTCTACCTGAACTATGGGCAGAACCCCACAGTGCCCATGACGCCGAGTCCGGACAACCCAACGCCACGCGCACAACAATTCGCCGAAATCCTGCAAGCTGCCCGCGCCAGAGCCGCCGAAGCAATAAAAAAGGCCAACGTCATCGCTAAGCGCAACGCTGATCGCCACCGCCGCCCCGTCACGTATCAATCCGGAGATTACGTGCTACTCGACACGCAAAATCTGCGACTGCCCGACGTACCAAAATTACGACCACGCTACTGTGGACCATTCCAAATCAGTCACATGATCACACCCGTCACCGCACACCTACTGTTGCCAACCGACTGGTACATCAGCCCTTCGTTCCACGTCAGCCTACTTCGCCCATACATCCCGACCACAAGTCAACTGCCGCGTCACCGGCCACAATCAATGACTCGCCCTGCATCAGAGCCGATCATCGAGCCCGAAAAAATTCTGAGCCATCGGATCCGCCACCCCACGGGAATCAGGAGGATTGAATTCCTCGTTCGCTGGAAAGACCGCACGCCAACTGAAGATAGCTGGGTGCCCCAGAGCAACATCGAAAATCACCCTGCCCTGCAAGTGTACCTGAGGAGCCGGGGATTCCGCGATATACACGCACTTGCGTAGCGGAGGGGGCTTCTTGAGGGGGGGGGGTAGTGTAAGGAATTTTCTCGGCATTCCTTACGGAGCCGACTACATCGCGTACAGCAACAGCCGATTGTTCGCCCGTTACTGCTAACGGAACTTCGCCGACTTCGCGCGCACTGTTTTACCAAACCTCGCACTGCTGGCATGGCCGTATCGGCCTACGCTTCGGGACTAGCCCGAGCCTCGCTCCAGCGTAGCACTAGCAAACTCGCACGCACCGCGTTACCGTTTTGCATGTTTCGCGTATAAATGTTCGCTCATGCCTTCGCTCACATTTTGTACTCGTTTGACACCTTAGTGCAATTCTCGCTACCTCGATTCATTGCACCCGTAACACTAGCCTAGCTTCTTCTCTATTCCGCTGCGACTACTCTTCTATTCTTCTAGCTACGGCGCCACCTTCGCCATGGCAGGCTCGGCCAACCTCGCCTAGCATGGCTGCGCGCCGTAGCCTTGTTTCATTGTGTCGTCGAAGTGGGTCGCACAGTTCTCAATCAGACCCAGACCTGTCCCTTCAGGCTCCTTGCACCCAAACCTGCACTCCCAGGTTTGTTCTGGCACCCTCTGTTAGGGAGTTCGCCGTGTTGTTTTCACCAGCTCCCCAAAAATTTCGTCATTCGCCACCCAATCACTGACGTGCAAACCCAACCAAGTGTTAAACCGTTGAAAATTGGAGACGCGAGCTTTAAATCGCAGAACCTCTAACGAAACCTGTTCTCGTCAGACATTTTCTGTTTCAGGCTTTCAGCCATTGCAAACATCGAAGCTGGTCCCACCACAAGAATCTAGGTTATCTCGAGACACATCAGCTGATATCTCGTCGAGCATTACACTGCACCCGATTAGGCTTGTGCGGAAACGGACGGTCTGATCGCGCTTCGGTCTGATCGCGCTTTTCCAGTCACATCTCTGATTGGGCTTGATCCCCCGTTCCATGGCAATATCCAATCTGTTTAGACGATGCACCGACGGCCCTGGGATGATGATGACAGCTGTGATAAGAACGAGTCGTCTAGCACTTACGTTTCCCAAACGACTGAACATGGTGGGACGGTTTGATGCTTCGCCAGAGCAATTTGCACAATGGAAAGGGTCTCGCTCGATTCGGGCAATAAAAAGTCGTCGCATGAATCGGAAAGCGTGGTTGGGACAACGTTCTCTCTTAGCCTCTCCTTACTCGGCGATCACAGAGTCTCGCTGGACTTGAGCCATTGACTGAGATAGCACTCTTGGCCTTTCCGTTCCAGTTGAAACCGACGGATCTGATTACAAGTCAGTGGGTGGTTTCGACTGATAATTAACGAATTCGATCAGAATATTGCAGCATCCGACATGGATTTCAAGGTCAATTTTAGAATCCCAGCTTGTTTGAAAACCCGTGGACGTAACAGCCGCCTAAGTAGAAATGGCGAGTCCGCAGGATTCGTCACGGATGAAGACCCTCCTTTCGGTAACAACAGTTCTGGGATCAAGCCGAGTGCAGCTCACGCGGACGTCTCGCTTACTGTTTCTCCTGACGAACTTCTGTCTTCGGTTTTCAGCAGACTGATTGAGTCCCATCTGCCCATCTGCTGCCGGCCACACGAGACACGTCAGCAGCGGAGAGGTCGAGACAGGTTGAAATCAGTGGAGCAAGAATTCGATGTTGGCTTCACGGCTGTGGATGTTGGGCCGCAAGTGTGCCTTTCTTCTGACTTGACCGTTGAGCAAACCAAGCTTAGCACGGGTACAACCATCATTGTGGATTCCCTGGAAAAAGTATCTCGAATTCGAAGGGACAAGGTGGAGAAGAAGGTCCAGCCATTTCGGAAAGGTTGTGTGAACGACGCACACTTGTTACAGCTTCAGAAGTTTAACGAGCAGCTGAAGAGTATGGAGGCCTGGCTGGCGGCACTTCAGAAGGAGCAAAGTGGACTAGATCAGTGCGCTGGGGCAAATGGAGGGGCAGCAGAGCAAGCGGAAGAGGAAGAGGATGAGGAAGAGGATGAAGGAGAGGACTCCCTGGAAAACGTATCTCGAAATCGAAGGGACAAGGGCGAGAAGAAGGTCCAGCCATTTCGGGATGCTCCTGCTCCTGCTCCTGCTCCTGCTCCTGCATCTGCAACTGCAGTTTCTCGCCGTTCGGATTCTGTTACTCCTCATCCTGCTTCTGCGCCTGCTGCTGCGCCTGCTGCTGCTCCTGCTGCTGGTCTTGCTGCTGCGCCTGCTGCTGCGCCTGCTGCTGCGCCTGCTGCTGCGCCTGCTGCTGCGCCTGCTGCTTTCACCACCACATTGGAACCCAACGAGGCCGGCAACATGGAAGGCGAGGGGCGTATGATCCCGACAGGGATCGGCGGAGCTAAGCTGAAGTTCCTTGATTCTGACGCTGGCAATACCAGGGAAAAGGAAGGGGAAGAGAAAGCTTCTGTGAACGACCCCAGCAGCATGAAAGGCGAGGGGCGTCAGCCTAATAGAGGAGCGCCAATAGGGATCAGCGGAGCAGAGCTGAAGTGCCTTGATTCTGGCGCTGGCAATACCAGGGAAAAGGAAGGGGAAGAGAAAGTTTCTGTGAACGAACCCAGCAGCATGAAAGGCGAGGGGCGTCAGCCGAAGAGAGGAGTCCCGACAGAGATTGGCGGAGCAAAGCCAAAGTGCCTTGATTCTGACGCTGGCCTTAGCAGGGAAACGGAAGTGGAAGACACAGTTGCTGTGAAGGACGCACTCTGGTTACAGCTTCATAAGTTGAAAGAGCAGGTGAAGAGTATGGATGGCTGGCTGAGAGCACTTCAGAAGGAGCAAGGTGGTCTTAGTCAGTCCGCTGGGGCAAACAGAGGGGCAGCAGAGCAAGCGAAAGAGGAAGGGGAGGAAGAGGAGGAGGACTATGCTGTGAGAGAAGCACGCTTGTCATGGTCCTTTCAAGAGTTGGAAGAGCAGGGGAAGAGTATGGATGCCTGGCTGCAGACGTTTCAGAACCAGCAAGGTGGACTAGGTCAGTGCACTGGGGCAAACGGAGGGGTAGGAGAGCAAGCGGAAGAGGAAGAGGAAGAGGAAGAGGAAGGGGAGGAGGAAGAGGAAGGGGAGGAGGAGGAGGAAGAGGAAAAGGAAGAGGACGGGGAGGAAGAGGAAGAGGAAGAGGAAGAGGAAGAGGAAGAGGAAGAGGAAGAGGAAGAGGAAGAGGAAGAGGAAGAGGAAGAGGAAGAGGAAGAGAAAGACAAAGAGGAAGAGGAAGAGGAAGAGAAAGAGGAAGAGGAAGAGAAAGAAGATGAGGAAGAGGAAGAGGAAGAAGACCATGCTGTGAGAGAAGCACGCTTGCTATGGTCCCTTCCGAAATTGGAAGAGCGGGTGAAGACTGATGTGATGCTGCAGTTGACACCCTGCTCTGGAGTCCAAATCAGCGAGGGTGAACTGGGCCAGCCCGATGAGGCAATCGGAGCGGCAGCAGAGAAAGCAAGAGCTGAGGAGAGTCAGGAGTTGGAAGAGCGGGTGAAGGCTAATGCGGTGCTGCAGTGGGCTCCCTGCTCTGGAGTCCGGATCAAGCAGGGTCAACCTGATCAGCCCGATGTGGCAAACGGAGCGGCAGCAGAGAAAGCAAGAGCTGACGAAAGTCCGAAGCCACGTCAGCTGCTGTCTCGGGCGGGCATGGTTCACTACTTGGATGCGACGGGTGCGTGGGATTACGATCTGTGCGAGTGCTGTTTTGACCGTGCTATAAGCAAGAGGGCACAACGAGCACTTGCCATAAAGAGCCTGGAGGACGTGCGTGGCCGCCACCTGGGCAGGAAGCAGCCTCGTTGCACCCCTGCCGCAGCACCCGAGCAGCAGCAGGAGGCCGATTTCAGGATCTTTAGTGGAGCAAAGGAGCTGCAGGTGCTGCGAGGGGGGCACAGACTCTCGGCGCAGGAGCAGGTTGAATGGAAGGAGGAATGGGCGCCTTATTACTGTGCAGAAGCGATGCTGCTCGAGTGGATGGCTGAGCCTCGTGTGGGTGTGCTCATGGACCTAGGGAGGATCAGATCCCGCCTGCCATCCATTCTGGGTGCTGCGAACACTGCAACAGATGCAGCAGTAGCTGAAGCAGCAGCAGTAGCAGCAGTAGAAGCTGGAGAAGATGCAGCAGCAGGAGACATGAACGCATCTGCTGCATCTGCAGCATGGCCCTGCTGCTGGCGCTGCAGCAGTTGCTGGGCTGCCTACCGTCGTGCCGTCAATTTTGCGACGTCCCTAGTTCTTGTTGCGAGATCCTCCCGCATTGTGACTCTATGGAGGGCTCACCTGTACTCCTATCTGGCCGCCTGGCCTGTAATCCTAGCCGAGCTAGGGGCGGGCAGGCAGGGGAAAGACGACTGCTTTGCGTCCATGCTGGTTCAGGTGCTTGGTGTGAAGGAGAGTGCTGACTTGCAGGAAGGGTTTGGGTTTTTTGTGCAGCATGTGCTGTCAGGCGGGCTGGAGAAGGTGCATGGAGAGGGGAGGGGGGGGGGGCGAGAAGAGAGCTTCTGAAGAGACGAATGCAGAGGGGAAGGGGGGATGTGAGGGTATGGGGGAAGGCAGTGCAGATCAGACGGGGAGACACGCGGGGCTGGAGCGGGTGGTTGGTGGGGGCAGATTGGGACCGATGCTTACCTGAGATCGACGCACGACTGGTAGACGGCACGCCGCTGGCAATACGGGAACGCGTAGACCGAGTTTGGATTCGATGCGGGGGTAACTTCACGTTTAGTCAGGAAATGCTCGCAACGACCCTCGACGGAACCGACATTTTACTCGGGCGTGATTGGTTGCGACGACACAATCCGCGAATTGACTGGACGACGGGTGACTACACCGTGCGAGTAAACGGTAACAACATCGCCTTACCTCGCTGGGGCTCGCCTGAGTCTTCGTCGGGTGCGTGTCAACGCGATCACGATGAAACGCGCTGTTGCGGCCGGAGCTGACGTGTACGCGGTTGACATTCGGGAAGCCGAGGCAGCAGACAAGGGGGGCGATTTACAGAAACTGCTGACCGACGTACCGAGTGACCTGGCGGCACTGTTAAAACAGTACAGTGACATTTTCCCGGATGACTTACCGACGGGACTGCCACCTCAGCGACCGCACGATCACAGGATAGAACTGGAACCGGGGGCACAGCCAACAGTACAGCGACAGTTCCGACTGACCCAACCCGAACTAGACGAACTAAGGAAGCAGCTCGATTACCTGCTCGAAAAGGAATTCATTCGCCCTAGTTCGTCGCCCTTCGCCGCACCAATACTGTTCACACCGAAAAAGGACAAGGGTTTTCGCATGTGCATCGACTACAGGGCACTGAACAGGGTTACCATCAAATCCCGTTACCCCATCCCACGAGCCGATGAACTGATCGACCAACTGCGCACAGCCCGGGTTTTCTCGAAAATCGACCTCCGAGGAGGCTACCACCAAATCCGCGTCAACCCACCCGACTGCCCTAAAACCGCATTCCGAACACGCTACGGATCCTTCGAATACACCGTCATGCCATTCCGACTGACCAACGCCCCCGCCACCTTCCAAATGACCATGAACGAAGCATTCCGCCGCTTTTAGATAAGTGCGTCATCGTTTATCTGGACGACATACTGATTTACAGCCCTGACAGAGCACAGCACTTACAAGACATCGAAGCAGTTTTTAAAATCCTGAGTGAGAACCGCCTACCGACCAAAGCATCTAAGTGTGAGTTTTTACAGGACCGCCTGGAGTTTTTGGGACATGTTATTTCAGCTGCAGGAGTGGAAATAGACCCGAAGAAAATTGCGACGATTCAGGCTTGGCACGCGCCGACCAACTTGACCGAGTTGCAGAGTTTCCTGGAGTTCGTCAACTACGTGCGCCGGTTCGTCCCCGACATGGCGAAGCTGACTGCCCCGTTGACTGACCTGCTGAGGAAGGGGGTTGAGTACACGTGGGGGGAGAAAGAGCAAGCTGCCTTCTCGGCCCTCAAAAATATTTTGTGCTCCCCGCCCGTCCTTCACATTGCAGATCCCCACCGTCCGTTCGAGCTCGTCACCGACGCAAGTGACATCGCTGTGGGAGCAGTACTGTTGCAGGATTTCGGGAACGGCCTCCAGCCAATCGCGTACGAGTCCCGCAAGTTACACCCGCCCGAACGTAACTACCCGATACACGACCGCGAGATGCTAGCGATCGTGCACGCGTTCAAAGTTTGGCGATGTTACCTGACTGGCGCCGACGTGACAGTACGGACAGACCACCGCTCGCTACAGTACCTTCGCGCCCAACCGAATCTCAACCCACGACAGATTCGCTGGTTGGACTATCTCGAGTCCAATTTTCACTACACCGTTACGTACAAAAAGGGTGCATCCAACATCGCCGACGCTCTCACCCGCCCCACCGCCCAACTCCATGCCATCCTACTCGCCCAGACCAACCCGCTTTTAACTGGCCTATTCACCCACGGATACCGCACCGACCCATTTTTCACGACCGGAAATTCACAGCAACTGGCAGAAGCAAAAGGAGTCTATTACGTAAAAGCAGGCACCAACCGCATTTGGGTACCCGCGTACTCACTACTGAGGGAGCTGCTACTACAGGAGGCACACGACGGGATTACCTCGGGACATTTCGGGGTAGAAAAAACGCGACAGCAACTGCAGCGGTACTATTACTGGCCGGAGCTGTTGACCGACGTACAGCAGCACGTGGGCTCGTGCCCGACGTGTCAGGTGATGAAGAGCTCAAGGAAGCGGAAGGCGGGTCAATTGTAGCCGATCCCACCGCCCGAACGCGCCTGGCAGCAAGTAACCATGGACTTCGTCACAGGGTTACCTTCGAACCCTGGGGGTAACGACGCGGTGATGGTCGTCGTGGATAGGCTGACGAAGATGGCACACTTTGCTGCGTGCAAAAAGTCGATCTCAGCCGAGGAGACCGCTCGCCTGTTCATCGCAGCCGTTGTTCGCCTGCACGGGATACCAGCAGCAATTATCAGCGACAGGGACACGAAATTTACCAGCAACTTCTGGAAGAACCTCTGGGAGCAGTTCGGGACCAGGCTACAGTTCAGTTCGTCGTACCACCCCGAGACCGACGGCCAAACGGAGCGGACGAATCAGACGATGGAGCAGTTGATTCGTGCCACGTGCGACGACCCCACGACCTGGGAGCAACAGCTGCCGCTGATCGAGTTCGCGTACAACAACGCCACATCAGCCACGACGCAGCAGTCCCCGTTCTACCTGAACTATGGGCAGAACCCCACAGTGCCCATGACGCCGAGTCCGGACAACCCAACGCCACGCGCACAACAATTCGCCGAAATCCTGCAAGCTGCCCGCGCCAGAGCCGCCGAAGCAATAAAAAAGGCCAACGTCATCGCTAAGCGCAACGCTGATCGCCACCGCCGCCCCGTCACGTATCAATCTGGAGATTACGTGCTACTCGACACGCAAAATCTGCGACTGCCCGACGTACCAAAATTACGACCACGCTACTGTGGACCATTCCAAATCAGTCACATGATCACACCCGTCACCGCACACCTACTGTTGCCAACCGACTGGTACATCAGCCCTTCGTTCCACGTCAGCCTACTTCGCCCATACATCCCGACCACAAGTCAACTGCCGCGTCACCGGCCACAATCAATGACTCGCCCTGCATCAGAGCCGATCATCGAGCCCGAAAAAATTCTGAGCCATCGGATCCGCCACCCCACGGGAATCAGGAGGATTGAATTCCTCGTTCGCTGGAAAAACCGCACGCCAACTGAAGATAGCTGGGTGCCCCAGAGCAACATCGAAAATCACCCTGCCCTGCAAGTGTACCTGAGGAGCCGGGGATTCCGCGATATACACGCACTTGCGTAGCGGAGGGGGCTTCTTGAGGGGGGGGGGTAGTGTAAGGAATTTTCTCGGCATTCCTTACGGAGCCGACTACATCGCGTACAGCAACAGCCGATTGTTCGCCCGTTACTGCTAACGGAACTTCGCCGACTTCGCGCGCACTGTTTTACCAAACCTCGCACTGCTGGCATGGCCGTATCGGCCTACGCTTCGGGACTAGCCCGAGCCTCGCTCCAGCGTAGCACTAGCAAACTCGCACGCACCGCGTTACCGTTTTGCATGTTTCGCGTATAAATGTTCGCTCATGCCTTCGCTCACATTTTGTACTCGTTTGACACCTTAGTGCAATTCTCGCTACCTCGATTCATTGCACCCGTAACACTAGCCTAGCTTCTTCTCTATTCCGCTGCGACTACTCTTCTATTCTTCTAGCTACGGCGCCACCTTCGCCATGGCAGGCTCGGCCAACCTCGCCTAGCATGGCTGCGCGCCGTAGCCTTGTTTCATTGTGTCGTCGAAGTGGGTCGCACAGTTCTCAATCAGACCCAGACCTGTCCCTTCAGGCTCCTTGCACCCAAACCTGCACTCCCAGGTTTGTTCTGGCACCCTCTGTTAGGGAGTTCGCCGTGTTGTTTTCACCAGCTCCCCAAAAATTTCGTCATTCGCCACCCAATCACTGACGTGCAAACCCAACCAAGTGTTAAACCGTTGAAAATTGGAGACGCGAGCTTTAAATCGCAGAACCTCTAACGAAACCTGTTCTCGTCAGACATTTTCTGTTTCAGGCTTTCAGCCATTGCAAACATCGAAGCTGGTCCCACCACAAGAATCTAGGTTATCTCGAGACACATCAGCTGATATCTCGTCGAGCATTACACTGCACCCGATTAGGCTTGTGCGGAAACGGACGGTCTGATCGCGCTTCGGTCTGATCGCGCTTTTCCAGTCACATCTCTGATTGGGCTTGATCCCCCGTTCCATGGCAATATCCAATCTGTTTAGACGATGCACCGACGGCCCTGGGATGATGATGACAGCTGTGATAAGAACGAGTCGTCTAGCACTTACGTTTCCCAAACGACTGAACATGGTGGGACGGTTTGATGCTTCGCCAGAGCAATTTGCACAATGGAAAGGGTCTCGCTCGATTCGGGCAATAAAAAGTCGTCGCATGAATCGGAAAGCGTGGTTGGGACAACGTTCTCTCTTAGCCTCTCCTTACTCGGCGATCACAGAGTCTCGCTGGACTTGAGCCATTGACTGAGATAGCACTCTTGGCCTTTCCGTTCCAGTTGAAACCGACGGATCTGATTACAAGTCAGTGGGTGGTTTCGACTGATAATTAACGAATTCGATCAGAATATTGCAGCATCCGACATGGATTTCAAGGTCAATTTTAGAATCCCAGCTTGTTTGAAAACCCGTGGACGTAACAGCCGCCTAAGTAGAAATGGCGAGTCCGCAGGATTCGTCACGGATGAAGACCCTCCTTTCGGTAACAACAGTTCTGGGATCAAGCCGAGTGCAGCTCACGCGGACGTCTCGCTTACTGTTTCTCCTGACGAACTTCTGTCTTCGGTTTTCAGCAGACTGATTGAGTCCCATCTGCCCATCTGCTGCCGGCCACACGAGACACGTCAGCAGCGGAGAGGTCGAGACAGGTTGAAATCAGTGGAGCAAGAATTCGATGTTGGCTTCACGGCTGTGGATGTTGGGCCGCAAGTGTGCCTTTCTTCTGACTTGACCGTTGAGCAAACCAAGCTTAGCACGGGTACAACCATCATTGTGGATTCCCTGGAAAAAGTATCTCGAATTCGAAGGGACAAGGTGGAGAAGAAGGTCCAGCCATTTCGGAAAGGTTGTGTGAACGACGCACACTTGTTACAGCTTCAGAAGTTTAACGAGCAGCTGAAGAGTATGGAGGCCTGGCTGGCGGCACTTCAGAAGGAGCAAAGTGGACTAGATCAGTGCGCTGGGGCAAATGGAGGGGCAGCAGAGCAAGCGGAAGAGGAAGAGGATGAGGAAGAGGATGAAGGAGAGGACTCCCTGGAAAACGTATCTCGAAATCGAAGGGACAAGGGCGAGAAGAAGGTCCAGCCATTTCGGGATGCTCCTGCTCCTGCTCCTGCTCCTGCTCCTGCATCTGCAACTGCAGTTTCTCGCCGTTCGGATTCTGTTACTCCTCATCCTGCTTCTGCGCCTGCTGCTGCGCCTGCTGCTGCTCCTGCTGCTGGTCTTGCTGCTGCGCCTGCTGCTGCGCCTGCTGCTGCGCCTGCTGCTGCGCCTGCTGCTGCGCCTGCTGCTTTCACCACCACATTGGAACCCAACGAGGCCGGCAACATGGAAGGCGAGGGGCGTATGATCCCGACAGGGATCGGCGGAGCTAAGCTGAAGTTCCTTGATTCTGACGCTGGCAATACCAGGGAAAAGGAAGGGGAAGAGAAAGCTTCTGTGAACGACCCCAGCAGCATGAAAGGCGAGGGGCGTCAGCCTAATAGAGGAGCGCCAATAGGGATCAGCGGAGCAGAGCTGAAGTGCCTTGATTCTGGCGCTGGCAATACCAGGGAAAAGGAAGGGGAAGAGAAAGTTTCTGTGAACGAACCCAGCAGCATGAAAGGCGAGGGGCGTCAGCCGAAGAGAGGAGTCCCGACAGAGATTGGCGGAGCAAAGCCAAAGTGCCTTGATTCTGACGCTGGCCTTAGCAGGGAAACGGAAGTGGAAGACACAGTTGCTGTGAAGGACGCACTCTGGTTACAGCTTCATAAGTTGAAAGAGCAGGTGAAGAGTATGGATGGCTGGCTGAGAGCACTTCAGAAGGAGCAAGGTGGTCTTAGTCAGTCCGCTGGGGCAAACAGAGGGGCAGCAGAGCAAGCGAAAGAGGAAGGGGAGGAAGAGGAGGAGGACTATGCTGTGAGAGAAGCACGCTTGTCATGGTCCTTTCAAGAGTTGGAAGAGCAGGGGAAGAGTATGGATGCCTGGCTGCAGACGTTTCAGAACCAGCAAGGTGGACTAGGTCAGTGCACTGGGGCAAACGGAGGGGTAGGAGAGCAAGCGGAAGAGGAAGAGGAAGAGGAAGAGGAAGGGGAGGAGGAAGAGGAAGGGGAGGAGGAGGAGGAAGAGGAAAAGGAAGAGGACGGGGAGGAAGAGGAAGAGGAAGAGGAAGAGGAAGAGGAAGAGGAAGAGGAAGAGGAAGAGGAAGAGGAAGAGGAAGAGGAAGAGGAAGAGGAAGAGGAAGAGGAAGAGAAAGACAAAGAGGAAGAGGAAGAGGAAGAGAAAGAGGAAGAGGAAGAGAAAGAAGATGAGGAAGAGGAAGAGGAAGAAGACCATGCTGTGAGAGAAGCACGCTTGCTATGGTCCCTTCCGAAATTGGAAGAGCGGGTGAAGACTGATGTGATGCTGCAGTTGACACCCTGCTCTGGAGTCCAAATCAGCGAGGGTGAACTGGGCCAGCCCGATGAGGCAATCGGAGCGGCAGCAGAGAAAGCAAGAGCTGAGGAGAGTCAGGAGTTGGAAGAGCGGGTGAAGGCTAATGCGGTGCTGCAGTGGGCTCCCTGCTCTGGAGTCCGGATCAAGCAGGGTCAACCTGATCAGCCCGATGTGGCAAACGGAGCGGCAGCAGAGAAAGCAAGAGCTGACGAAAGTCCGAAGCCACGTCAGCTGCTGTCTCGGGCGGGCATGGTTCACTACTTGGATGCGACGGGTGCGTGGGATTACGATCTGTGCGAGTGCTGTTTTGACCGTGCTATAAGCAAGAGGGCACAACGAGCACTTGCCATAAAGAGCCTGGAGGACGTGCGTGGCCGCCACCTGGGCAGGAAGCAGCCTCGTTGCACCCCTGCCGCAGCACCCGAGCAGCAGCAGGAGGCCGATTTCAGGATCTTTAGTGGAGCAAAGGAGCTGCAGGTGCTGCGAGGGGGGCACAGACTCTCGGCGCAGGAGCAGGTTGAATGGAAGGAGGAATGGGCGCCTTATTACTGTGCAGAAGCGATGCTGCTCGAGTGGATGGCTGAGCCTCGTGTGGGTGTGCTCATGGACCTAGGGAGGATCAGATCCCGCCTGCCATCCATTCTGGGTGCTGCGAACACTGCAACAGATGCAGCAGTAGCTGAAGCAGCAGCAGTAGCAGCAGTAGAAGCTGGAGAAGATGCAGCAGCAGGAGACATGAACGCATCTGCTGCATCTGCAGCATGGCCCTGCTGCTGGCGCTGCAGCAGTTGCTGGGCTGCCTACCGTCGTGCCGTCAATTTTGCGACGTCCCTAGTTCTTGTTGCGAGATCCTCCCGCATTGTGACTCTATGGAGGGCTCACCTGTACTCCTATCTGGCCGCCTGGCCTGTAATCCTAGCCGAGCTAGGGGCGGGCAGGCAGGGGAAAGACGACTGCTTTGCGTCCATGCTGGTTCAGGTGCTTGGTGTGAAGGAGAGTGCTGACTTGCAGGAAGGGTTTGGGTTTTTTGTGCAGCATGTGCTGTCAGGCGGGCTGGAGAAGGTGCATGGAGAGGGGAGGGGGGGGGGCGAGAAGAGAGCTTCTGAAGAGACGAATGCAGAGGGGAAGGGGGGATGTGAGGGTATGGGGGAAGGCAGTGCAGATCAGACGGGGAGACACGCGGGGCTGGAGCGGGTGGTTGGTGGGGGCAGATTGGGGGAGAGATTGTCCGTGGGGGGATTGGTGGATGCTTCACATGGGAAGGAGGATGAGATGCACGGAGAGGAGGAGACAGAGAGCAAGGTAGAAGTCCAAGGGGTTGCTGGCAAGTGCAGGAGGGTAAGGAAAGCCTTGAAGTGGAGGGAGAATGCGAAAGGGCTCGTATGGAGGAGGTATGTGGATGGCATGGCTTGGATTTTGGAGCATGGAGGGGGGGAAGGGAGGGAGTTCAGGTGCAGCCACTGCATTGAGGGGGGCAGCAGCAGCAGCAGCAGCAGCGACGGGGGCAGTGGCAGCAGCAGCAGCAACGACAGTGGTTCTGGGGCCAGCAGTGCGAGCAGCGGTGCTCCCAAGGGCATGCACGTGAGTGGTGTAGGTGCGACCGATTTCGCCCTCGCTGTCACTACAGTGTTGTTGCAACCAGAGCACTGGAAGGAGGCACAGTTGTACTTTCATGATGCGAATCCTGTGAGCAAGATACAGGTAGAGAAGGCAGCTGTATATGTAGCCAGGAAGAGGGTGCTGCAGCATCGCCCGAATGAGAAAACGGGGATGGATGGAGGAGACGGGGCAGGTGTGGGAGGGGCTCAGCCCCCTCAGCCCCCTCAGCCCCCTCAGCCCCCTCAGCCCACTCAGCTTGCTACAGCCATTGCTACAAATGCTGGGCTCGTGCCTGTCGATAGGCCAGAACCAATCAAAAGACTTGTGCCTGTCAACACGAACCTTGTGGTTGCTGCATTCACCTATCGGGCCCGTTGCATCTTGCAGTGGGTCCGAATCTACGGCCCAGATTCCATCTCAAGAAACCAGTGCTCGAAAGACGGTGCTCCGAGCAAGGTATGGGTTATGCGCCACCCACTTCGGGATCTTCCGAGCCTGCTGGTCAGGTTTGGCGCCATTCCCAAGCCTCTGGAGGGAAGCGACGTTCCGTTGGAGTGGGAGGAGTGGCCTCGGGGCGATGAAGCTGCTGCGAAGTTTCCTGTCAACCCGAAAGAGCGATGTTTTGGGCTTGGGATTGTGGAGGATTGCAGTGGACCAGCAGAGAAGCGGACATCGCCTCAACCTCCTCGGCACACATCTGAAGCAGCAGGGGAAAGCAGGAGTGCACGGGGAAAAGGTTGTAAGGCAGCAGGGCAGGAGTGCAGTGTGGAAGCCACACAGAGCAGAGCGAGTGGGAAAAAGGCTGAAGCATCTGGAAACGCCGAGCAGAGAGTCACACTACCGCCCGCGAGAAAGAATTTTCCTATCGTGCGCTGCGAGGCAGATGTGGAGTTGCTGGTGGGGCTAGCCGGGTACGTATTGGACCCTCCTGCATGCACCCACTGCACCCGCTGCTCCACTGACTTCATGAATTTCGCATGCTCCGTTGCTGTCATTGCCAACTTTGCCTACCGCCCTGTCAGTCACCTGTTTGCCCGGGTTCTCTCGGCGTTCCCGCCTGCCTCCCCTGGGTTTGTCAAGCTGGTAGAGTGCTTGGACCTCCCTGCTCCCCTGCCCGGGCCTGTGAATGTGCGTATGCTGCTGGAGCGAGCCGAGCAGGTGCCTCTTTACTTCCTCATTCACATGGCTGTGTGGTGCGCGCACGCTCTTTTAAAAAACGATATGGACGAGCGGGAAGGCAGTGGAAAAGGGAAAGGGGGCACAGGTGGGAGGTTGGGGGTGCAGAGCCGCTGGGATGGTGAGGAGGGTCAGGAGAACGGTGGAGAGGTGTGGGAGGAGGTGGTGATGTGGTATTCCTCGGTGATGGCTGCATGGAGGTTCAACGTGGGGAGCAAGGGAGAGAGCGAGGAGTGCAGAGGCAGCAGGAAGTGGGAGAGGCCGGAAAGGGGGTGGGACATTACATGGATTCTTGAAGCAGCGATTGTCCCCAGGTACTGTGAGGGGTTGCAAGGGAAGCGTGGGACTCCAACGGAGAGGAGCACTGGTGGCAGCAGCAGCAACTTGTTGAAGTGGGGTTGGGCGGGTGGCAGCAGCAGCAACCGAAGTGAGAAGTGTAAGAAGGGGGAGGAACCGGCGCACCTGAAGGCATGGCCAGGGGGGGTCAAGCTGGTGGCATGTCTGCGAGAGATGCTGCTGGGGGAGCCCTGCTACCGCCCTGCCTCCCCTGCTACTCCTCCTGCTGCCACGTCCACCCATGCTGCTTCTTCCACCTGTCCTGCTGCTGCTGTGTCTTCTCGTCCTGCTGCCTCGCCCAACCCCACTTCAACAAGCATTGGTGTTCCTGCTGCTTCTGCCGCCGCTGCTGCTGCTGCTGCTTCAGATGACCAAGGCCGTGTGTGCGGTGATGCGGGGTGTGGGAGGGTGGAGGGTGGTGGTGGTGGGAAGTTGAGGAGTCGCGGTGGGTGTGGCAAGGTGGCGTATTGCAGCAGAGGCTGCCAAAAGACGCATTGGCCCTCCCACAAGCTCACATGCCCCGGCAGGACCAGCGGGAAGTGGCGTGGGAAGGATGGGAACCGAGATGGCTGCGAGAAATCTGGCAAGGAGAGTGGTTGTGAGGTTAGTGGTGACAGCGATGGTAAGGAAAGGTGGGGGAATGGTGGAAAGATGATTGCACAGGAAGGTGCATGGACAGCCTTGAAAGCATCAGCGAGGAGAGTTGGATGAGGGGTGGGGAAGTTGCGGGTGTTGGGCTGAGATAGCCCCTTAGGATCTTTGCAAGGGATAGCTCTAGGTGAAGTAGTTGTAATAGCGGAAGCGTTTAGTGAAGAATTTGAACCGACCTTGCACTGGTGTGTGAGAGCAAAGTTGATTGAATTAAACGAGCAAATACAAGGATTTATATAAGAGTACAGGGAATAGATAGATAACTGTATTGCTGTTGCAGTTCGATATAGCGCGACTCGGGCAACTGCTCTGTAACGAGTCAGTTGTGTGTCCTTAACTGTCGCGCTGTAATTGTCGAGTCAAAGGTCAGCGACCTTTGACTTTCTCGTAACCTCCAGGCGGTTACCCTAACCTCCGAGGTTGACTCGATGCTTCGATTGGGACTGCTTCGCTTGGTACCTTGGATTTTGATACGACAGAAGCGCACTTAGGACTTATTGTTTCCAACACTCCCCTTCGCTTCTGGAGTGTTACTGCTGGTGACGTGGCCTTGTCCAGTCAGCATCATGCAGTATTCGAACTTCTGCTTGCCGACTTTCTTGGTCAAGTAATCGGCTGCCATCTCGGATGTTGGACAGTATGACAGATCGAGTTTCCCTTTTTCTATCTCGTCCTTCACGAAGAAATAGCGCAGGGCGATGTGTTTCGTCCTGTTTGCGAAGCCGTTTTTGTTGGCTATGCGAATTGCTGACTGGTTGTCGCAGAACACGGTGAAGCTGGGTAACTCGGCTAGCTTCGCTTCTTCCAGTAGTTCGCGAAGGTAAAGTCCCTCCTTGGTGGCTGAGCAGAGTGCAATATATTCTGCTTCTGCTGAAGATAGTGCGATTAACTCCTGCTTGCTCGACTGCCAGGAGATAGGACCGATAGGCTCAAGGCGGTAGACATAGCCGGTGCGTGAGCGCCTGTTGTCGGTGTCGCCGGCGTGATCGGCGTCGACGTAGCCGATTAGCTTAGTCGGTGTAGCTGCGCTCTTGTGGTAGGTTAGCCCGATCGTCGCGGTGCTGACGAAGTAGTGGAGAGCGCGATCAAGTTCCGCCAGGTGTTCAGCTTCAGGCTTCTTGAGATAGGTGGCGAGCTGACTTGCGGAGTAGGATAAGTCAGGACGGCAGGTGACGGCGGCGAATAGCAGGCATCCGAGCTTCTTCTGATAGTCGCGTATGCCGGCGGGCTTGAGTAGAGTAGTTCGTTCCTTCTCAGTTCCTGATGTGTAGCGGTAAGGCGTGGAGATGGCGCTTGGTGTGAGGCTGAAGCGTTTCGCGATGGTGTCGGCGTATTTCTCGGCGCTTAGATAGATGGCGTTTTCTTCTTCGCGGATGTTGAGCCCGAGGTACTGTGTAACGGTGGAGGAGACCGTGAGCGTGAGGTCTTTCTGGAGCTCTCCTTCGAACCATGTGGCGATGCCGTCGGTTGACCCAATGTAGAGGAGATCGTCCACGTAGACGATCAGGAGAACGTAGTCGCTTCCCTTAGTGAGGCGGTACATGCCTTGGTCGTGAGGTAGTTGACTAAAGCCGATGCGGATGAGACGGGCGTGCAGGTACTGCTGCCACAGTCGCGGTGCCTGCTTGATCCCGTAGAGCGATTTAAGTAGTTGACAGATTCGGTTGGGTTCGCCGTGGGAACCGTGCGGGAGCTCGACGTAGATTTCTGCATCCACAGGTGCGTAGAGGAAGGCATTCGCGACGTCGATCTGCCGTAACTTCTTCTTCTTCATGGCGGCAATGGCGAGGAGAATTCGGAGTGACGTGTGGCGGCTGACTGGAGCAAAGGTCTCGGTGAAGTCTCGTCCTTGCTCTTGGTCGAATCCACGTATGACCCAGCGTGCTTTGAATTTTTCGATCATGCCGTCTGCTTTCGTCTTGATGCGGAAGACCCATTTCCCGGTAAGGATGGTTTTGTTCCGTGCCACGCTTACGGGAACAACCTTCCAAGTGTTGCGTTCCTCTAATGCCTTCAGTTCTCTATCCATGGCTTCACGCCATTTCTCCCTGTGTTCCCCCCCCAGAGCCTGCTGAACCGTTGCAGGCTCCTTAGGAAGCGAGCTGCGTGTGTTCCCGTGGACTGCGGTGACGAGGCCGAGGATTTGCAGCCCAGTCTGTGAGTATCGAGGGAGTTCTGGATCCTCGGGATAAGCTGCTTCGTCTCCCGCTTCTGGATCAGGGATGAAATTCGGTCCTATCCTTCCTGCTTCATTTGTGTTGACGGTTGCAGGTGTTACGTAACCGGTGTCGGCGAAGTGGTAGAAGACTTCGGCGTTGTTACTGTCGCGAGGATTTTCTACGTCCATGGGCACGTTGACGGAGCAGTACGGGAGAGGTCCGGCTTCTGCCGATGCGTTGTCAACATTCTGCTCGTCCCAGTCTGCTTCATCCGCTGCTGACGCGAAGGCTCGGTCACCACGAAAACCACTGGTGAGGTCCCGATTCTCGTGCAAGTTGGCGAGGTACGTCTGAAGGGTGAGTCTTTCGTAGAAGATCACGTCACGTGCTGCTACTGTTTCCTTTGTGTGGACGTCGAAGATTCTCCATGCGTTGTAATTTTTCTCGATGCCGAGGTGTAGTCCCCACTGTGCCCGTTGCGAAAATCTTCCCGCTCGTGCTTCTGGGGGTCTGTACTGTACCATGCACCCGAAAACTCGTAACATTTTCGTGCTGCCTTGCTTCCCTGTCCACAGCAGATGCGGTGATGCATTGTTCGGGAGTGACGACGACGACAACAAGTTGTGTAGCATGACAGCGTGGTCCATTGCTGCTGGCCACTGGTGGTTGGGTAGCCGCATGCCACGTAACAGTTTGCGCATGCTGTTCTGCAGGGTCCTGTTCAGTCGTTCTGCAACACCTTGCTGCTGATGTGCGTAGGGAAGGGAGAGGAGTTGCTTGATCCCCCTTTCGGCCAAGAACTGCTTGAAGCGGTGAGAGGTGTACTCGCCACCTCCGTCTGACTGGAAATTTTTCAGTTGTGTTCCAGACTCTCTCTCTGCTATCGGTAGCCAGGCGGCGAATGCTGCGAGCGCCATGTCGCGGCTGGGTAGGTTGCGATGCCAGACGTATCGAGTGGCGGCGTCGATGAAGGTGATGGTGTAGTTGTAGTTGACTTGTCCTGGTTCGCGATTGTAGAGGATGTCGCTGTAGACTTTTTCGAGTGGTGCGTACGCTGGAGCGCTCGGGTTGTGATGTGAAGCAAACGGTCGATGAGGTAAGTCAGCTTCGGGACATATAAGGCAAGTCCCTCGTGCCTTCTGGAGTTCTCTGCCATCGGGTAGAAGTAGAGAATCTTTGTCAAGGACTCCTGCTCTTATCGTGTTATTCAAAACCGTGTTGCTTGGATGTCCTGTTCGTGCGTGCCAGATCTCTTCAGAGGCGCGGTGTCCAGGTGAACGCTGATATGCGTCGGAGTTGGAGTAAAAGTTGGCGACGAGGTTGGCGCTTCGGTGGACTTTACGTTGAGTCGGATTCAGCTGTTGCGCAGGTGTTGGTGGTGCTTCGTCGACTGTGACTGGTGTCGTTGTTCCTGCTGCTGCTGATGTTGTTGCTGCTGCCGATGTTGTTGCTGCTGCCGATGTTGCTACTGCTGCTGATGTTGTTGCTGCTGCCGATGTTGTTACTGCTGCCGATGTTGTTGCTGCTGCTGCCGATTGTCGAATTGTTGCTAATGCTCGTGTTCGTTCTGCTTCAGGAATGGTGTGCGAGTACCAGAAGCCTCCTGGGCTGAAGTCGGGGTCGAGATCCGGAGGGTGTGTCCAGTCAGTGAAATTCACGATGGCGTCGCTGTCTGCAGTGCCCAGGTCAGGAACGAAGTCGAGGACGAAGACGTTGTTCTTCAGCACTGCTTTCCCGATGTAGAGACCGCCTCTCCCGTGGTAAAGTTTGAACTCCTGGGTCGTGCTGTCGGCTTCCAGATGAATTCCTTTCGCCATCAACTGGCTAACGCTCAGTAAGTTGTAGCCGAGTCCTTCAGCGATGAGTACCTTAGACATGTGCAGTATGACATTTGTTTCTCTTGACTGAAGCTGTACCACTCCTTGTCTTCGTGTGCGCAGGTTTTGGTTGTTGGCAACCGTGATGATCACTTCCCGTTGGAGTCGATGTTCGCGTTGTACGAAACGCCCGGACGAGCACATGTGTTGCCCGCAGCAATTGTCCAAGAACCAGGTGTCTTGGCCGGACGGTTCACTTTGAGCGATGGCGGCGTACGTTGGATTCGGCTGGAGTAGCTCACGGCGAGGCGTTCTATTGTCAAGCTCTTCTTCCGGTGAGTAGTGTGGTGGTGATTCGGTTGTACACGAATCGGTTATCTTCGTCATGCAGTTGATTATATTTCTTGCTCCTTGTGCAGGTTGTCCGGGTGAAGTCGTTGAAGCTTGAATAGTGGTCGTCGCACTTGCTTGTGTTGAAGCCATTTGGGAGCTTGAAGGTCGAAGTTGTCGCTGTGGTGCCGTTGATTGCTGACGATTCGGGCAGTGTGTGCGCGGGTGCCCTGAAGTCTTGCAGATGTGGCAGAAGGGAGGTACTATCTTCGGTTGCTGCTGTCGGTTGTTATAATTGCTGTGTCGTCGTTGAGTGTGGAATGCGAACTCTGATACTGTCGTTTTCTTCCTGTGTCGTTCTTCCTGCAGGTCCATATCTTGCTGCTCGGCATGTATTTCGGCGCAGAGTGCAGCTTCAGAGATTCTTCCGTGGGCTCGAAGAATGGCTTTGGTGGCGCGCCACTGAGGACCAAGCCCACCAATGATGACTGTCACGAAGGCGTCTTCAGAGATTGACCCTCCGCATCGAAGCAGCTTGTCGCGCAGTTCGCGACATCGGCTGATATACGCCAGTCCTTTTTCTCCTGGTTTCATTTCCACTGTTGTCAGCTGCGCCATTAACCTGCTCTGGTTTACACTGTCTGTTGCCTGGTACAGGTTCTTCAGATGGCCGTACGCGAGTTCCGCCGAGTTGCCGAAGTTCCGGTAGGAGCGAATGTTCTGCTGCTGGGTTGGTGTGATGTTTCTCAGTAGAATAGTATACGCCATCATGGATTGATACGTATACTGCTGCTTTTCATACTGTGTCCCGTTTGCTGGATACTGCAGGGATCCGTCGAAGAAGCCGAGTATCTGCGCGCCCTCCATCATCAACTCGAATTCAAAGGACCAGGTAAAGAAGTCCTTTCCGTCGAAAGGTCTTGACGTCTGTAGTTTCAGAACATGCGCGAACTGCGACTGTACTTGTAAGGCATCCATTGGTTTGTCTTGCGCAGGTGGAGGTTGAGGCAGGAAGCTGATCGACCCGCGTTCGTACGGGGCGAAGGTGGGTTGCTGCTGTTGATTCCCTCGCGCATATGACGACCCGTCAAGGCTCATGGGTGTCGCTCCGTTGTTGCTGTTGTGTGTCTGTGCAGGTCCCGACTGCTGGTGTTGCTCGTAGAAGGACATGAAGGAGAAAAATTTCTCCATCATGCTCTGGTCGAAGTCAGAAGGATGGTTCGTGGGGGTCTCGGTTGACGTTCCCCTTGGTCTTGCTGCCGTGCCTTCCTCTGTCTGCAGGCCAGAGGCTGGTGGTGGAGTAGGAGTAGTGCCCGAGGAGCCATTAGGGGAGCTCCTTTCCTTGTTTGTTGCCATGTCTTGTAATGATCAAAAAAGTTAGAGTTTTCCCCTGTCAGCTCTCATACCATGTTGGGCTGAGATAGCCCCTTAGGATCTTTGCAAGGGATAGCTCTAGGTGAAGTAGTTGTAATAGCGGAAGCGTTTAGTGAAGAATTTGAACCGACCTTGCACTGGTGTGTGAGAGCAAAGTTGATTGAATTAAACGAGCAAATACAAGGATTTATATAAGAGTACAGGGAATAGATAGATAACTGTATTGCTGTTGCGGTTCGATATAGCGCGACTCGGGCAACTGCTCTGTAACGAGTCAGTTGTGTGTCCTTAACTGTCGCGCTGTAATTGTCGAGTCAAAGGTCAGCGACCTTTGACTTTCTCGTAACCTCCAGGCGGTTACCCTAACCTTCGAGGTTGACTCGATGCTTCGATTGGGACTGCTTCGCTTGGTACCTTGGATTTTGATACGACAGAAGCGCACTTAGGACTTATTGTTTCCAACAGCGGGAAAGAAGGAAGAGTTAGGAGGGGAAGGGAAGGGAGGGGAGGGGAGGGGAGGGGAGGGTAGGGTAGGGGAGGGGAGGGGAGGGGAGGGGAGGGGAGGGGAGGGGAGGGGAGGGGAGGGGAGAGGAGGGGAGTGGAGGGGAAAGGAGGGGAGGAGAGGAGAGGGGAGGGGAGCGGAAGGCAGGGCAGGACAGGGGAGGGGATGAGAGGGGAGTAGAGGGGGGGATGGGAGGGGGGGGGGGGGGGGGGGGAGGGGGGATGCCGATTTGCCGTTGTGGGTGGTTTATTGTAGAGTTAACACAGACTGAGTGCTGAGGCAACCCATGTTCTAAGTTCGAGTGTTGCAGTACTGGCTTAAACTCGAGTGCAGTAGACATGTTGGATTTTTGTGCAGAAGTTGAGCATGGCGTCTCCATGAAAAGACTAAGCGAATTGAAGTACAGCATATTTGTGAGATGCAAATCAGCTAAGATGTTATGCTATTCAGAATTGTCCATAACTTCCCAACTTTTCACCAAAAATTTCCTAACTTTTTTTTTCCGTAATATTGAATGTATCTTGAAAGTCCACCGTTTGTTTTTTTCCCTTCTTACCAAGTCTCTTTTTCTCCTCCCTCACCAACGTTATTGACAAATGCATATGTCATTTTCATGGACCCAGCTTTTATTAAAAAAGGGTCTCCCAAAAAAGGAGGCGAGGTGGATTTTGGCGGTGACCGTTGGGTCACTAACAGTGATCCGAACCGCCTGAGATGGGAAACTAGGGACTGCGCGATATTAATACTTGCGAGTAAGGATGTAGCGAAATGAAAGGTTCACACGGGTGCTGTTCGATTGCGCGCTTCGACTGCCAGCTGCGCCGGCACTCGAATGAACCTTTCAGTTTCTGAGTTGGATTGGATCAGCTATTCAGATCTGCTTACCTTAGAGAAGGCAACCTCTCTGTTGGCTCCATAGCAGGAGTAATTTGCGATCAGGCCACTCAACTTGAGTCTCGCGTCTTTTCTTGATCGGTTAGCGTTTCCTGCGGTGGCAAGATGGCCACAGGGAGCGCTCCTATCGTTTGGAAGGAGGCCCTCAGCGTGAGTAGGAGAGATTGAAGGTAGATTTATGTAGATCGACCAGGAGGGACTGATCGGTTTCGTGTGCTCCAACTGCTTGCTGATAACATTAGGTCGATTGCTCCTGGACGACTTCTGAGATTTACGACATGGGTCATTTTTCCCACCGTATCTCCTTGTGCAGTTGACAAATCTGGGGGTCAATCAACGGTTCATCAACTTCACTCATGTCACGATGGAGTCCGAAAAGTATATCTGTGTCAGGGAAACGGCTCCGTCGAACAGCATTGTCATCATTGACATGGCGACGCCAATGCAGCCTTTGAGGAGGCCTTTCTCTGCTGACTCAGCTTTGATAAATCCTGACAGCAAAATCTTGGCGCTCAAGGGTCAGTTCGTTGCTTGTTCGTCCATACGTTTGAGGATGTTCTTGGGTCAGCTCAAGAGTCAGCTCTTGGCGTTCGGATCACTTAGACTTTTCGGTTTGAACGTTCAGCCGCTTTGATTAAAGGGACGAATCACTTGCGGATTCTCGACATCGAGGCTAGGGCTAAATTCAAGTCGTACCGGATGCCAGAGGAGGTCAGCACCAGATTACAGTTGCACCTGCCATCAGTTTGAAAAGCTTTACTTACAGATTGCTCTCTCGCTCTTTGCAGATTGTGTACTGGAAGTGGATTTCCAACGAAGTCCTCGGCCTCGTAACTCTGACATCTGTTTACCACTGGTCGATCGAAGGTTGGAGTTTTTGACTGCATCATCTGCCAACCCTTTCACATTCAAAATTCTCTTGAATCAACATAGGCAAGCTTTTGCAGCGAAGATGCAGTACTGTACTGAGACTTTTTATTCCCTTTTTCTTTGTGTCTCGACCAGGCGAGGTAAGACCCGTTAAGATGTTTGAGCGGACAGCAAACTTGAACGGCAGTCAGATAATCAACTACCAGAGTGATCCCTCTGGCAAATGGCTCGCTTTGATTGGCATCGCCCCTGGTGCTCCTGAGGTATGCAGAAAGTCTTGCCCTTTAAAGTAACCAGAAGTTGCGAGAATGGTTATTGATGATGTTTGCCTTGGTGGTTGCTTGCAGCGTCCACAACTCGTCAAGGGAAATATGCAGCTCTTTTCCGTGGATGAGCAAAAGAGTCAGGCATTGGAAGCGCACGTAGCTGTGTTTGCCTCTGTGAAGGTCTGCTGATTCCGTAATTCTTTCACAAGATTTACATTGAGCGCATGTGAAGTGTTTGGATTGTTAAGCAAGTACTCAACTGTCTGTGATCGCGCAGGTGCCAGGAAACGACACTCCTTCCCTTGTCATTGCGTTTGCCACCAAGACCATCGCTGGCGGACAGCTTATTTCGAGGTTGCATATTATGGAGCTTGGTGCTCAGCCAGGTCAGCTAATCTCTAGTTTCGTACGAAATCATTATGTCTCAGAATATATTGGTTTAGCTGACAAGATAAGCCTGGTTGTTTTGTTGCAGGCCGTGTTCCTTTCACTAAGAAGCAGGCCGACCTGTTTTTCCCGCCAGCTTTCGCTGATGACTTTCCGATCGCTGTGCAGGTGAGGAAGCTTGCGTTTAATGCTTCACCCCACAAACGATTCCGACCCTCCGCGCTTCTGCTGCTCAACCCCCTTGTTCTCCTCCCGTGTTCGCCCGCCGCCCTTTACCCCTTTCCCCCCTCGTTAAGGTGTCAGCAAAGTTCGGTCTGGTATATGTCGTCACCAAGTCGGGCCTGCTCTTTGTGTACGACCTCGAGTCCGCTACATCCATCTACCGCAATCGCATCAGCCCCGATGTGATCTTCCTGGCAGTCGATGCTCCCAGCGTGGGCGGTTTCTACGCCGTGAATCATCGCGGGCAGGTGCTGCTTGCCACGGTGAACGAGCAGGCCATTGTCCCGTTCGTCAGCGGCCAGCTCAACAACCCGGAGCTCGCGATCAGCCTTGCTCGCCGCGCGAACCTTCCTGGTGCCGAGAATCTGATGCCACGAAGTAGTGGCCGAAAAGGCGTGGTAGTGGCCAAAACGAGCGCGAGAAGCCGGGCACCAGCAGTGGGGCGAAGCGGGGAGAAGGGGCGTCGAGTTTCCCAGAAAGAGGATTTGGTCTGCTTGCAGCCCAGTTCTTCCAATGTGGTCAACCGGACCGCCACAGCCATTACTCGCCAGAGCCTAGGTACGTCTGGGCGTTGAGGTTGAGTTAGAGAGTGTTGGTCCTTGAGCTGAAAGAGTTGGGCGTTGCCAGGGAAAGCCACTTTTGCCATTGGCCTGTTGGAAGGCGATGAAAGAGGGGTGTTTTTGAGATAAATTTGACGCTGGGTTGGCCTGTCTGGGACGGTGGGTATTCCAGGCCCGTTACCTGCACTATGTCTCTTTTTCTCTCATCCCCTCACTTTTCTTCCTTTACAGAAGCTCCCTGTGAGGAGGATCCAGCAGCAGCAGAAGGGGCAGCAGCAGGTGCTGCAGCAGTAGCACCACCACCATCATCAGCAGCAGAAGGGGTGGCAGCAGGTGCTGCATTAGTAGCACCACCACCATCAGCAGAAGCAGAAGGGGCAGCAGCAGGTGCTGCAGCGGCTGCAGCAGCAGCAGCACCACCACCACCATCAGCAGCAGAAGAAGGAGCAGCAGCAGGTGCTGCAGCAGTAGCACCACCACCATTAGCAGCAGCAGAAGGTGCAGCAGCAGGTGCTGCAGCAGTAACACCACCACCATCAGCAGTAACAGAAAGGGCAGCAGCAACCGCTGCAGCAGCAGCAGCAGCACCACCACCATCAGCAGCAGCAGAAGGGGCAGCAGCAGGTGCTGCAGCAGTAGCACCACCACCATCAGCAGTAGCCGAAGGGGCAGCAGCTGCTGCTGCAGCGGCTGCAGTAGCAGCAGCACCACCACAATCAGCAGCAGCAGAAGGGGCAGCGGCAGGTGCTGCAGCAGTAGCACCACCACCATCAGCAGTAACAGAAAGGGCAGCAGCAGCTGCTGCAGCAGCAGCACCACCACCATCAGCAGCAGCAGCAGCAGCACGAAGGGGGCGAAGCGCAGGTGTTGTGGTAGAGAAGGAAGTAGCACAGCCATATATGTGTCGAGAATACTCACTGGCAGAGCTAACCGAGGCTACAGGACATTGGGCTGAGGGGAACAGGATAGGAAATGGCGGCTTTGGGGTTGTCTACAAGGGTGTTTCTCCCGATTGCAATCAAGCTTGGGCAGTCAAGCGAGCTCGAGTGCTCACAAACGACTTCCAAAGAGAGGTGAGTCAGCTTTGAAAATCCTAAAAAACGACCAGCACAATTGTTTCAAGAGAGAGGTATCATGTTCTGGGTTTTGGTTGGTACCACGTCCCGTGCTGGTTTCTTGTGCCAAGTCCCATCACTTGATTGTTCATTGGCTTGTTCACCATCATTTCCCCCCCCTCAGGTGAAATGGATGGCAAGCAAGCACCATCCGCATCTCGTGCGTCTGTTGGGCTATTGCATCGACTTTGACCCGTCCACACGAAACTTGGAACAAATTCTTGTGTATGAGTTTATGCCCAACAGTGACCTTGACAGCTGGATCGGCCCTGGTGTCTCCAGCCCTCTTTCGCTGCAACAAAGGCTGGACGTTCTGATTGGAGTGGCCAAGGGGTTGCAGTATCTTCATGACTTCAAGATTGTGCATCGCGACATCAAGCCGGCCAACATTCTCCTTGATGGGAAAATGCAGGCATGCTCAAAACTGTAAAGCTGGGTTGCATGTGAAAGAAGGTGCTTTGTTCATCCGTTTTGTTCATCCTTTTCAGCCATCATGTGATTTTGTGAACAGCCCAGCATAGAGTTACGTCACCTAATCTCCCGTTGCATGATGATGCTGTTGTGGTTGATGATGGGCAGGCAAAGGTTGCAGACTTTGGGCTCGTGAAGCTGCTTGGAGGGACATCTGTGGCCATATCTGAGGCTGCCACTCGGCTGGTGGGAACACTGGGCTATATGGACCCTGAGTACTGCAGCTCACACAAGCCTTCTCCTGCTGTTGATGTGTACAGGTGAGTAGATTGGCACAGCACAGGTAAGCACACTGGTGCATGTCAGAAGATTGATACAGATTAGCAGATTGGGTCGAAATAGCCATCCAACAGGCATCTTATGTTTGTGAAAATTCTTTGGATTTTTTACCTTCACCGTGTTTTTTTGCCTCGTTTCATAGTGGCTGTTCATGGCGGCTGTCATTTGAGGAATGCATTGGCATGCCTGACCAATCAAAGGCTCTGAGATTCTCGGCCACTTAACATGGGGGTTTGGGACACAAGTGGTTGTGAAGGTGGTCATATTAATCATGATGATTTTTTCTATGGAAATTGTCCTATGCATCTTCAAGTGTGTCACACATAAGCATCGTTTCACAAATGATGTCCTTTTTGGTTGCCTTGATTGCAGTTTTGGTGGCGTGGTGATGCCAGTGGTCGTCATGGGGCGCGAGGCTGTGCATGTGATAAAATATATTTTCTTTGATGATGCACTTATGCTTGGCTTGCAGTTTTGGCGTGGTGATGCTGGTGGTTGTAACGGGGCGCAAGGCTGTGCTTGTTATAGAGGACGATCACGTCAATATCAAGAGATAGGTGAGACACAGGTCACAATGGGTGAGACACAGGTCACAGTGGGTGAGACACAGGTCACAGTGGGTGAGACACAGGTCACAGTGGGTGAGACACAGGTCACAGTGGGTGAGACACAGGTCACAGTGGGTGAGACACAGGTCACAATGGGTGAGACACAGGTCACAGTGGGTGAGACACAGGTCACAATGGGTGAGACACAGGTCACAGTGGGTGAGACACAGGTCACAGTGGGTGAGACGCAGGTCACAATGGGTGAGACACAGGTCACAATGGGTGAGACACAGGTCACAATGGGTGAGACGCAGGTCACAGTGGGTGAGACGCAGGTCACAGTGGGTGAGACGCAGGTCACAATGGGTGAGACACAGGTCACAATGGGTGAGACACAGGTCACAATGGGTGAGACGCAGGTCACAGTGGGTGAGACACAGGTCACAGTGGGTGAGGCGTACCTCAGAATGGAATACAAAGCTTAGAAAACGTCCAAATGGGGCACTAACACCATCTTTCGTAAGTCCAAGTGCATTACCGCAACCAGACACAATAAAAAGGTTTCTAACACCTTGACCAGAAACATGTGGGCTGGTTCATCCTCTCTTCCTTTCTGGTCACATGAACCAGCCTACACGTTTCTGGTCTATGCTCTATTGGGCAAGGCGAGTATGATGATGATAAACTCTCAAGTCTTGTTTCACCTTGCACGTGTCAGTCACACAATCAGCTTGCCTATCCTAGCTGTCTACCTTGTTGCTTCTCTCCCTAGCGCATGTTGGTCCTCTCACACAAACCGCCCCACCTATTTCCAAACTACTCACCCATCCCATGTGTCTATATCCTTCTCGGTAATACAACTTTTTCCTGTCACCTATTTTACTCTAATACCAGTGTATTGACAGACTTGCTCTTCATGCAACACTCCTGGAAAAAGGAAGAAGAGAAACCTTTTTTTCGTATGCCATATCCTTTCAACCTGGCAGGTAGCCCCACTGGTGATCTCAGGAGCAGTGGCAGAATTCAAGGACCCTCACTTGGAAGCACCGGATGATGTGGTGCTGCGCTTGGCTCGCCTTGCCCTCTCCTGCACTGCTCTGCCTGGGGTTTCCCGTCCCTCCATGCTCCTAGTGCTGGCTGAGCTGTTGAGGATAAAGCAGGAGATGTTCGGGGCGCAGGTGAGCGCGGAGGTTTCTGGCATCGACATGGAAATTGGAGGCTCTGATGACTACTCTGACTTCAGTGCTGAAATGGCCCGCGCAAGCGCCTGTTAGTGGTGGCTCCTCAACTAGCATGCCATAGCATGCCATAGAAGAACATGCACCATGTGCCTCAAGAGTCCGCTATTAGTACTCCGTAAGGGTGCAGTACAACATGTGCTGCACTGGTATTCCTTCCATTACAACAGAGCCAATGGTTTTATATGCTGTGTTTAGTGCTTGAGAGAGAAGGAGGCTGGGTGGGGTGCCAACCAAGCAGGGCTGACGATATCAGGGTAATTACCCTGATTTCAGGGTGATTTCAGACTTTCCACTTTGCGGCGACTGAGATTTCAGAATTACTGAGTTCTCAACCCTGTTCAAATAAGAGTAGTAGTTTTCCTATCCCTGATTTTGAGTCTAGTGTAACAGACTAGCCTGTTAGTGGACCCTGACTTCATAGGGTATCGAATCTGTGGTCCCTGATTTTGACCTTATCGAAAGGAAGGTTCTTGGAAATTTCCTTCCGATATCCCCCTTCGGTTTGATCGCAGTACAGCCAGCGCGTGAGCGATGGACAGCAGCATGTCTGACAGGTGAGTACACTCGATGTTTGTTATTTTCACGAGATGCGAATAAGTTGTTCTTTTGTCGCAAGTGCGTGTGCGTAAAGTTTCCAGAACCTATTTTGCGTTTCGCACAGCGATGTTGGCCACATTCAGGTATCGAATCGAAATGTTTGGCTGAGCAAAATCGCTCATCTCTTCCCCCCACTACAACGTGTGCATAAATACCGTTTCGTAACACTAAAAGGGCGGAACTTAGCGCGCTCAAAGTGTGCGCGAAACACAGAGCGCAAACTTTACGCAGAGGGAAACTTTTTCCCCTGTAACAAAGGGCGCGTTACTACTCTGATTCTTGATTTTCGACCCTGAACAATCAGAGTTATATACTTTTCAACCCTGAGCAATCAGAGTAGCATTATTCTGAAAAATGTGCACTTATAATAGAGGGGAAAATTTTTCCCCGGAATCAGGGAGGCCTAATATGAAACGTCAGCCCTGCAACCAAGGTATGCGACAGTCAGCTCGAGAGGGATATCAGTAGCTTCTTGAAAGATGCATGGATGTGCGGCAGGGTGCAATGAATCATCAGAATGTGGAGTGGACAGGGCCCAAAGTTTTGACTAGTACTGATAAGGTAGCACACAACTCTTTCTTTTTTTCCGTTTGTTTTTTTCCTATGCGCCCTAGGGTGACATAATGTTATGCACAGGTGTTATGGGTGCAATGAATCGAAGTAGCGAGAATTGCACTAAGGTGTCAAATGAGTACAAAATGTGAGCGAAGGCATGAGCGAACATTTATACGCGAAAGGTGCAAACGGTAACGCGGTGCGTGCGAGTTAGTTAGTGCTACGCTGCGAGCGAGGCCCGGGCTAGTCTCGAAGCGTAGGCCGACACGGATGGGCCAGCAGTGCGAGGTTTGGTGAAACAGTGCGCACGAAGTCGGCGAAGCCCCGTTCGCAGTAACGGGCGAACAACGGCTGCTGCTGTACGCGATGTTTCAGGGCGTGCTAAGGAATATCGAGAAAATTCCTTACAACAGCAGATTAAGGCATAAAACCTTTCCATTTGTAGTCCTTCCGTTTGAAACGTATAAAAAGACCAGTTATACACAGGTCTAAAGGGTAAATCTGCATTGTGTACACGTTAGGCTGAATAGTTTGTAGATGTTCATTTTCAACTAACACCATTACGCAACCGCAAAATAGTTGTACCGTATTAAAGCATTTTAATTCGCGAAAGCACTAATGAAACCATAACAATTTGCTCAATTCAGTTTTTTCTTCCTCATACGCAGACTATCCCTCCTGTCCTTATGTTTTCTTGCAGGCACGAGTGCATATCCACAAATGTGATTTAATGCCTCTCGTCATGGCGAATGGCTACAGTCGCTAGACATCTCCGCAAACAAATGAACGCACTAACTAAGCAGCTGCTAACAACATTACTCAATAGCTGCACAATAATCTAACACAAATTTTGCAGTCCAGCTTAGAACACGGGCCACTTCAACGCTCGGTCTATGTCTAATACACCCTTCACGATGACACAATCGGGATCCATTATCCTCTTCTCCCCTCCCCTCCCTCCCTTTCCCTCCCCTCTCATCACTCTTCTTTCCTTCCCACGACTTTGTTACCCCTCATCCAACTCTTCTCACCGAGGGTTTCAAACTTGTCATTGTAACTGCCTAAGCAAGACCTTGCCAATCATCTTTCCACCAGTCACCACTCCTCTTTCCTTACCACCACTGCCGCCACTACCCTCACAACCACCCTCCTTGTCGATTTTCTTGCAATCATCTCGGTTCCCATCCTTCCCACGCCCCTTTGCGCTGGTCCTGCAGGGTCGTGTGAGCTTGTGGAAGGGCTAGTGCGCCTTTTGGCATTTTCTGCTGTGATACCCCACCATGCCACACCCACCGTAACTCCTCAGCTTCACACCACCACCACCCTCCACCCTTTTACACCCAACAGCATCGCACCATGGCCTTGGACATCTGAAGAAGCAGCAGCAGCATGGATGCTCGTTGACGCGCGAGTGGGGCGAGGCAGTAGGACGGGACACTGCAGCAGCGGGATGGTTGGAAAGAGCAACACAGGTTGACGTGGCGAAAAAGGAAGGCAGGGCAGTAGCACGGCTCCCCCTTCTTGCACTTCTTCTCGCTTCTGCTTCTGCCGCTGCTGCTGTTGGTACTCCAACTACTTCTGCTTCCACCCACCCACTCACATTTGCAGCTGTTGCTGCCAGTGCTGCTCTTATTTGGAGCCCTTGCAGCTCGTGCAACCCCTCACAGAACCTCGGGACAATAACTGGCTAAAGAATCCACGTAATGTCCCACTTCCTGCTGCCTCTGCACTCCTCGCCCTCTCCCTTGCTCCCCACGTTGAGCCTCCACACAGCCATCACCAAGGAAAAATACTAGTAACGAATTACATGCCACGCATGCTTAAATGAATGATGAGGCATGCTATATAGATGCATACATAATACAGATATACGCATGAAAATGCTTTTGTATACATATGATATGTTGAAATGTACCACACCAGTATATCATACAAATGCGTAATAGTTAACGACCCAAAAACTAGGCTACCGCATCCCCTGCCTAGCATTGGGGCGGGCGCCGGAAACTACATCAGATGGGCATCCAGCGCCGCGAGGATACCACGCATGGTCCTCCACAGTTGCTGGACCACTGACGCAGACGCGCCTACACCTTCAATCCCGCCCCCAGTCCGGAGGTGTGCGGTCAGACCCTGGACCGTTTCGTCTAGTTGTGAGACCGCAACGCCTCCCAACGCGGGCGCTCCCAGCACGGGTAGGAGGAGGAAGGCAAGTTGAGCAGCCGCCGCCAAGCAATCAGCTCGAGCACCACGATCGAGAGTGCTCCCTGGGCTTTGAAGAATGGCAAAATGCGAGTTCACCAGAATCACTGTCAAGGCCTGCTAACACTCCACCAAACGCCACAGCTGCGCGAGAGTCGCCGTGAGAACTTCGGCCACTCCGGTCGCCAGTGCTACAGGCGGAACGGGAAGAGGGGGCGGAGGCTACACGGAACATCAGCAAAGCGCCGCGGAGGGACAAAGGCCCCCCTCGCGCCTCCGCCTCCCGCTCCCACAAATCCCGTGTCTGGAAGAGGGGGAATACAGGGCAGAGGCGGGTATTGCGAGGCAGAAACGGGACGCACGAAGGCACGCGGAGCATGATCACCGCCAGGAGCGGGAACCCGCGGATACGCCGAGGCGTGTGGAGCAGGATTAGCAAGGGGTGCGGCCGGAACCTGCACATTCACATGAGCGGGTGCGGGCGCAGGAACGGCGAGAGCCAGGGAGCTTCCAAGATTCGGTGCGCCATTCAGAGCATTGCGCATCGCCGCAGCTAGCATCCCTGGGAAATCCTCGCGAAGCTGCTGCATCTCGCTTGGCCCACCGCGCCCGCGACCGTGACCTCCCCACCAGCCACTGCGGCCTCCGCGGTGCGCCGACCAATACGACAAGGAGGGGCGACGCCGAGGAGAACCTCGCCCCCGATGCGCTGCTGCATTGCCCCCCGCGGCACCGGGTATCTGTGACACCGCGAGCCGCTGCGCGACGGGATGTATCGGCGCAGCCGCAAGGGCCACCAGGTGGGCAGAGTCGGGGCCAGCGCCCACGACTATCCCCGGCGCAGGGCCTCTAGCATCAGCTTGGACAGTCGGCGGCGCCACAAGTGACGGCTGCGCAACGGGAACCGACGCGCCGCGCCGGAAGCGGGAACAACGTGTGGATGGCTCGGCGGGGGAGCCGGCACCGACGGGACTGGAACAGAGGACGTCGCAACAGCAGCAAGAGGAGCCGGGGGGGGCAAAGGGAGCAGCAGCAATAGCTACAGCAGCAACAGGGGCCGGAGGCGGAGCAATCGCGCTATCAGCGGTGTGGCCTTGGTCCACCGCTGAATTCTCCGCTTCATTCGCCATTGCGGCGAACGCGTCGGCAGCAGGCGATCGAGGATGCACGGATGCGCCAGAACGCGGGAGTAGGTAGTCGCAAAAATCCCCAACTGACCGCGACCAGTACGCGGACACGTGGGGGTTGAGCCGAAGGTCGCAGACGTGGTAGGGGCACTCGTGAAGGAGGTCCGGAGAACGCGTTCCAGGCAGCAGCGAGAAGGGCTTTAACCGAATTAGTTAGAAGTAATGAAGAAGACGAAGTTGTTGGAATAACTGAACAGGAATGAATGAACTAACAGTGAAATGAGTACAAGTACCTAACCCTAGAATTGTGTACCCCCTATAGGCTAACCCACTGTAGCCTAAACAAGCACAACATATATAATGTTTGACAGACCCCCATAGGCGAAGTGGGGGAGAACTAGGGGTCACAAGACCAGTCAAGGCAAGCAAGGCAAAACAAGCTCAGGGTGGATCTCAAGGATACCACACAAATTCCGAGCACAAGCAAGTGGTCACAAGACCAGTTCACATGCAGGTTTATAATGGAGCAAAAGATACAATGATCACAACCTA